GGAGCCGCTTCTGCCCAGCCGCCGTCGCCCCGTCACCGCCGCCAACGACAAGAGCATCCCAACCACAACCGCCTTCATCCCTACCCGCCGAAGCGTCCCCACCACAGCCGGATTATACTGACAGATTGCGGCCCGGAGAATTGCCGTCGCCGGCAGGAAACACAGCGGCCGTCCGCTTCAGCACCAGCGAATCCCACACCATAATAAATGCACCAGCGAGCAGCCCGTCGCAGCCCTGTCCTCACCAGCGCCCCACGGCCACCCGACAAGATCTGATGCTCTCCGACGGCAGCGATTTCATTATCCCGATTGCAGAAAAATCCGGTCGATTGAGCACATCACCGACGAGAAGATGTACGTCATATCGACCGAGTGATTAAAGAAGGCAAGGACCATGGCTGAATTTGCTGGAAACACGTGAAACATGTTTTGAGGGTGGGGTTTTTTTTTTTGAGAATTTGACATTTCACATGGGTCTAATTGCAATTTTTAAAATTTTCAGTATTCTTCAATTTAACCCCTCGGTCAAATCTGTAATTTAATAAAAATATATAAAATGATATTATTTTTATATCTTTTTTATACATATATAAAATTTGTAATTTTTAACCAAAAAATAATAAAAATATATAAAAATATTAAATAAATAAAATACATTTTTTATGATAATAATAAATAGTAAAAATATTTCACCGAGTTATGTTAATGCGATCAACCAACCGAATAATAAAATTATTTAGTTTATTTTTAGTATGGATTTGAACATAACAAACTTGAATCTATTGCACAGTATTAGTAATCATTTTGCACATTAGTTAATGTCAGATTGCACTATAGTGTTAGACGAAATGCACTTTAATGCGTTCAAAATTAATTTATTTAAAAAAAAAATTATCATTCAGTTTTAACAGATAACATTATAAAATATCAAATAAAAATTCAAAATTACAAAAATATATTTTAATTACATGTATTATATAATAAGTGTAAAATACTAATTAAGATACACATTATTAAAGTTTACTAAAATTGAATGCAGATCAAAAAAATACTCGTTTAATAGAATGCACGCAAATATTATACTAGAGACACATTTGTGTTTGGGTAGTTGTACTTTATTGATTTTGTTATTTTATATATTATGTATTTTCAACAAAAAATAATATAAAATATGCTAAACAATATTATTAACATATTAAATATAATTGTAATATAAAGAACAACTTATTTCGATAAGTTAGAATAATTAAGTTAACCAAACCGAGTAAACCATTTAATTATGTCCAGTTTCAAATATTTTGAACAAAATTTCGGTCGTTTCAATTTGCACAATATAGACCGGCACTATGCACCGTAGTGTTGGACTAATTGCACATCAATAACTGTTAAATTACACATTATATTTTGTTTACATATATATTAGTATTCTAATAAAAATATTAAAG